GTTGTGAAAGGTGCTACACAAATGCAAGCACGTGTTGTTGCAGTTTTGGTCCCACCCAAAAACTGCATGGGATCTGGGGGTAGGGCAGGTGGGAGGTCATGGTGATGCTTCTTATGGTGGGATATCTGTTCACCCACTGCGGACAGAGGAGGTATAATCATTTACTGTCAAGTTATAGGGTAAAGAAAATATCCTCACTGAATCCCCAAAGAAAGCCTCAAGGTGTAACAAAAAACCCATACGCTACTCTTTTAAACATTACCCATACTCTGTAAAGAGTAGAGCCAATTTTAAACTTTTAAATTTAAGAATTAAATTGATATAACACCTTTTATTACCAGCTGACATTCCAAAGTGCTTTCCTACTAACAAAGTACTGTTCAGAAGTGGAACCAGTGTTACAATGTAGGAAGCACAGCAAGCTCCCACAGATAGCAATATGTTAATACCATAACCTTATTTTTTAAATCAAGAGATGAGTATTGACCCAGAAGATCAGGGTGGATGGCAAAATTTTGCTTGTCTTCAAAAAGGCAGCAGTGAGATCCATTACACCCATCTGAAAGACAGCAAGGCATTCCCTCTACACTGCACTTGGGAGTGTCAGCCTTGTTTGTCACATTCAAGTGTTTGGAGTGGGACTTGAACCCACAACTTCCAGCTTCAGAGTCAAGAAGTGGCACCCATCACACCAAAACTGACCCTGCAGGAATAGATTTCTGATCAAGTGAGAATGGAGAAGCTCTTTCCACTGGCAGGAGGGCCAACAACTATAGGCCACAGATTTAAAATAATTGGCATAAGAGACGGAAGCAATATTTGAAAACACGACTGAAAACAAAACACACAGCAAGTAAAGATTTGGAACACCAGCCTGAACGGATGGTGGAAGCAGATTCCAAAGTAACTTCCAAAATGGAATTTGATAAATGTTTGAAAAAGAAAAGCAATGCAGGGCTGTGGGACAAGAGGAGCGAGTGGGACTAACAGGATACTTCTATCGTCTTAGATCAGCCGTGGTCTAGCAAGCTCGATGGGCCAAATGGTTGATTTTCATTCGGATTTATTTGCATTCTTTCGAAAGCAGCAGCATAGTCACAGTGGGTCAAATAGCCTTCGTCTGTGCCATATGCTTCCACATGGCACAGTGTCAAAGGTAGGCTTCCATACATGGTTAAGAGATGCAAACCCAGTATTATGCTGGAGCACTGATGACACTTGCCAGACCTGCTACACCCTACCACCACCCACCCACCACTCCCTTATTCACTTTAACAATCGGAAGAAGAAAATTAGTGGAAGGTTTATACAGCACAAAAATGCTTAATGCATTTGAGTGAATTAAAGGGACAGGGAGAGAGGGAGAGGAAACAGCATAACAAAGATTCAGAGGAGCAACATCAACCCATTCAAAACAAAAGGGACATGAGGTGAAGGGGATTAACTCACAGATGGTGCAAAGCAGTTTAATGGCTTTGTGCATTGTCAAAACACACTCAGCCCCTCCCCCAGTAAGCCACAGGCCCATTAGCAAGGGGAATAGTCGTCTCAGAAATTTCTAACACTGTTCCATCCTTGTTCATCTAGCCATTAAACCCTGCACAAATCACACTGCATGTGGCTTATAAATAAGCTTCAGGATACAGAGGAATACCTTTTATTCTCCACTTACTGGAGGATGGGCACAGATGGCACTAATTTAACTCCCTTTTCTGCTTCAGAGACCACAAACTCCCACTGGATTTTCTGTGCCAGTATGCTTGCTCTTATTTGCCCCATCCTTGCCAGAGGCTAGTTCACAAAGGGTCAAAGCAAAGGACATCAAGTTAAACACTGTCATGCCTTGTTAACCCCAGATGCTCACTGTCATCTAACCAAGAGCTGAAGTTGCAACTACCATGTGGGACAGCCTGGAGAGGAAGAAAGCAGGAGGCTGAGAGGTGACCTATAGAGTTCTTTAAGATGATAAAGGAGCTCACTATGGAAGACAGGGAGAAGACATTCAAACTTGCAACCAAAACTAAAGTAGGTACTACAGATGTAAATAGTCACTCATTGTTCCTTGTTCCAGGGATTAGAAACTTCAGTTATGAGGATAGATTGAAGAAGTTGGAACTGTTCTCCTTGAAGAGAAATCTGAGAGGAGATGTGACGGAGATTTTCAAAATTATAAGCGGGCTGGATACAGCAGATAGGGAAAAGGTATTCCCATTTGCAAAAGTAACAAGATCAAGAGGTGCATAGATTTAAAAGTGATGGACTAACAAAGTGAGGCTGATGTGCTGAATTTTTTTCATGCAATGAGTAGTGGAATACACTACCTGGAAACGTGGTGGAGGCAGGTTCAACTGAGGCATTCAAGATGGCATTGGATGATTATTTGGATAGAAATGGTATGCAGGGACATGAAGAAAAGGCAGGAAATCAGTACTAGGTAATTGAACCAGTGCAGACATGATAGGCTGAATGGCCACTTTCTGCACCATAACAATTTTGTGATTCTGGGATAAATCCAATTGGAAATACAAGAGAAACTGCTTCACCCAGAGAGCTGTAAGGACGTGGAACTTAGTCTCAGAAGGAGTGGTCTGAGGTTGTATGATAGACCTAAAGAGGTGAAGAGTTAGTGGCAAAGCTGGGTAAACATGAGAAGTACGGAAGGATATGTTGATTCAGCAAGATGAAAAGAACTGGGAGGAGAGTGGAGTGCAAACATCAGCCAAAATAACAGCCAAGTCAGTTGGCCTGTTGCTTTGCTATGGGTATTTCGTAATAACATGTACTTGATATACTATAAACAACAAAGCCCCTAGATCAGGTCTTTGCCCAAAAGTGGAAACCTCTTCTCTAGTGTCCCTATCAAACCCCTTTCAGAATTTTAAAGCTCTGCATCAAGTTGGTCCTCAACCTCCTATTTTCTAGGGTAATATTGTCCTTACCCAGTCTGACCTACATATGACTCCAGACCTGTAGCTATGCGGTTGACTCTTAACTGCCATCTGAAATGGCCCTAGCAAACCACTCAGATCTAAGAGCAATTAAGCATAGGCAACAAATGGTGATCCACCCAGATCCCGTGACCAAATAAGAAAAATTTCTGTGGGCCTGGAGTCACAAGCAGGTACGGATAGATTTTCTTCCCCAAAGAACATTAGTGAAGCAGATGAGTTTTTACAATAGTTGAGGATAGTTTCACGGTCACCATTAGAGACTAGCTTCCAATTCCAGATTTAGTTATTAAATTCACATTCCATCAGCTGCTGTGGTGGAATTCAAACCTATGCCCCCAGGGCATTAGCAGGGGTCTAAGGATAACTACTCCAGTAACATTGGCTGCCTTCCGGGTCACTTCACGCAAGATATACCAGTCTTGGAGATGGAGCAGAGAATTAGTGGAATTGTTCCAGGAGGAGGGTCTTCAGTAATGGAGAGACTGGGGAAACTGCCTATTCTCCTTAGAACAGAGGTGGTCAAGAGGAGATCTGCAGACCAGTTCAAAATCGGAAATGGTTTGGTTCAGGTAAATACACAGAGAAATGGTGTCCATTGATAAGATGGTCAGGGACCAGAGGGAACACAGATTCAGTATAAGAGATAACAAGGTGTAGAGCTGGATGAACACAGCAGGCCAAGCAGCATCAGAGGAGCGGGAAGGCTGATGTTTCGGGCCTGGACCCTTCTTCAGAAATTCAGATTCTTCAGATTCAGTATAACTGGCTGAGAGGAAAGTGGGGAACAATGGTTTTAAACAATGAGCTGTTACTATCTGGAATGCCCCTAATTTTTCGTACAACTGTGTGCTAACGTTTTCATTTTAAAAAAGCCTTGGTGTTCCTGGAATGAGGGATTAGGGCTCCAGCCCCTCAGTCTGCCCAGACACCTGAGCAAATATATAGGTCCCAGATCAGGACAGGTTTGGGAATGGGGAGGGGGTTGTTCGAATGAGAGAGGGTTCTGCTGTGATGTCTCATGTAGTCAATCAGCCAGCAATTGCTGTCCCAGGCCCATAAACTGGGGCTATTGTGTGGGAGGAATGGTGAAAAGAATTGGAATGAGGTGTTCCCTCAGCAGTTACTGCCCTCACCTCTGTGCGAGAAAAAAAGCTGGAACGGAAGTGAAACCGCATGTGGTAAATCCACATTGTAACCCAGAGAGGGATCAAATAGCAGGAAAAAGACAAAGGACAGGATGAAATGAATGAACATAGCTTTGGGGAGGGGGGAGGGAGAGAGTCTGAGGAGAAGGGGGAGTGAAGGAATCCGGGGAGAGGGACGGGAGAGAATCTGGGGATTGGGACAGAGAATCTGGAGAGGGGGAGTGATATCTGGACAGGGGTGAAAATCTGGGGAGAGGGGAGAGTGTGGGGACGGGGAAGGAGCCTGAGGGACAGAATTTGGGGAGGGGGAATGTCTGAGGAAAAGTCTGGGGAGAGAGGAAAAGCAGATGAGAAACTCCTGCTTTCTCCACTTCTGATCGTCAAAACATTTCTTCCCGGTCCCAGGACAAAAGGTGGGTTTGCAGCTCAGTCTATCCACCTAAAAAACCCCCCCCCCCCCCCTCCTCACACACACACTGTCTTTCCCCGCCGCGAAACCTTCCCGCCAGCTTCCCAACATGCAAAAACAAAGCGCATGGAGACCAAGGTTTATACAAAAAGAGCCCCCTTCACCAGCAGCTCAGGCACAAGGAACGGGGGATTTAATCGAAAAAACATCTGATGGAGAAGGCAAGATTCAGAAATCCCCGAATTGAGAGGGGCAAGTGTTTCAGAGGGAGGGAAGGTGAGAAACTGTGATTGGGATGAAAAAAAAGGAGGAAGAGTAAACAGGGCAGGGTGAGATAAGAGACAACTGCGAAAGTTTACAAAACTTTGCTGAAAGTTTTACACTCTACGCGCGACAAGTTCGTTTTGTTTTACGTTGAAATTGACCCGACATCGCAGCCAGTGATCAGAAATAGCCAAACTCTAAAAGCACAGGGAGGTGCATGGCTCTACTCACCAAAGTCCGGAAACCTCTCCCTCTCAGTCCCAAGATGCAAGATACACAAAGACGCACACTCTGTCTTCCTCTGCCTCTCTCTCTCTCTCTCTCAAACAAAGACCAGGCAAGAAGAAGACAAACAGAAAAAAACGCTGGTAGAGAAAGAGGAGGGGGCACGTGATTCCTCAACTCTCCTAAAATCTCCCAACTCCTCCTCCCTGGCCTCCAGCTCAGAGCAGGATCCCGAGGAGAGAGATACCTGGCGCACAGGGACAGTGTGCTAAGACCTTGTTTAAATCCTGATCTCCTTTGCCTCCCCTCCCCAACGCCCACCAACACACACGTATACACACAAACGCACAGTCAATTGTAAGTTTCAACGCTAATTCTCCGATGACGTGATTAATCAGGGTCCCATTATGAACTGGGAATGAAGATGATATCGCTCTACCTACCCCTCACCTCACAGTATCCAGGTTCATTGGGAATTAAAGGGGGATGTCAAAATTCACAGGGGCAATTTTCAACACCTCCATCTACAATTTCCACCCTGGTATCTCCCATGTGCCTACATTCCAAAGCAGCATTAGCCCCAAACCCATTTGCCACCCAAGAATTATCCCTGCCTCCCCATATCCCACCCCAGCACCTTTCTCCCCCTATATTCCAACCCATCATCCTTCCCTCCCTATATCCCAACACATCACCCTTCCCTCCCCATACCCGACTCTGGCATCTTTCTATCCCCATATCCCACCCCAGCACATTTCCCTCCCCATATCCCATCCCAGCACCTTTCCCTCCCCATATCCCACCCCATCACCTTTCCCTCCCCATATCCCACCCCATCATCTTTCCCTTCCCCATTCCACCCCAGTACCTTTCCCTCCCATATCCCACCCCCACATCTTTACCCTCCATTCCACCCTATCACCTTTCCCTCCTCCATCCCACCCAGCACCTTTCCCTCCCTATATCTCACCCCAGCACCTTTCTGATCCCACCCCACCCCAGTACCTTTCCCTCCCCCATCCCACCCCATCACTTTTCCCTCCCCATATCCCACCTCAGCACCATTTTCTCCCCATATCCCACCCCAGTACATTTCCCTCCCCATCCCACCCCATCACCTTTCCCTCCCCATATCCCACACCATCACCCTTCCCTCCCCATATCCCACCCCAACTCTTTCCCCCCACCACATCGCATTCCAGCACCTTCCCCATATCCCACTCCAGTACTTTCCCTCTCTATGTCCCACCCCATCACCATTCCAGCTCCATATCCCACCTCAGCACATTTCCCTCTCCATATCCAATCCCAACACCTTTCCATTCCCACATCCCACCCAAGCACCTTCCTCCTACAGTGACATTGTAACCACTGTCAGTTGTAAAAACTAATTTGGTTCACTAATATCGTTTAGGAAAGGAAATCTGCTGTCCTTACCGGTTGGACGTAAATGTGACTCCAAGCTCACTGCAATGTGGTTTACTCTTATTTGCCTTCTGGGCAATTAGGGAATAAAATAAATGCTGGCCTAGTCAGTGATGACTATATCCCATGAAGGAATAAAAGCAAAACATCCCAGATCTTCCACAGGCCCATATCCCACCACATTCTTGTGTCCAGGGCTGGCCAGTTTGCTTCAGCTCAGTCATGCCATCATGTGATTCCTGAAAGTGAGACATTTTCTAATCCTGTTAAAGATTAGAGGCAAAGCCCTGGAATCCAGGCAGAATATTCTGGATACTCTGTTGCCTCCCAGAGTAAGAAGCATTCCCAATTCTGGCTTCTCACACATCCTCAATATCCAACACTTCACCATATGGTGACCATGCTCAGGGCCCAGGCAGCCGAAGGCACAGCCACCAATGGCCCAAACATCTTCAGCTGCTTCATCAATGACCTTCCAACCAACATAAAGTCAGAGGTGGGATGTTTGCCAATGACTGCACACTGTTCAGAACCATTCACAACTCCTCAGGTACTGAAGTAGCCCATGTTCAAATGCGACAAAATCTGGACAATATCCAAACTTGGCCTGACAAGTGGGAAGTAACATTCACACCACACAAATGCCAGGTAATGTTCATCTCCATTAAGAGACACTCTAACTCATTACCTCTAGACATTAACTGGTGTTACCATCACTGACTCCCCCACTATCAACATCCTAGGGGTTACCATTGACCAGAAACTGAACTGGACTCACTAATATAAACACAGTGACTACAAGATCAGTTTGGAGACTAGGAAAATTGCAACGAGTAACTCATCTCCTGACTCCCAAAACCATCTACAAGGCACAAGTCAGGCATATGATGGAATACTCCCAATTCACCTGGATAGGTGCAGCCCCAACAACACATGAGAAGCTTGAGGAGGCAATGACCTAGTGGTATTATCACTGGGCTGTTAATTCAAAGACCGAGGCAACGTCCTGTGGACCTGGGTTCAAATCCCGCCATGGCAGATCATGGAATTTGAATTCAATTAAAATCTGGAATTAAGAGTCCAAAGATGACCATGAATCCATTGTCGATTGCCGGAAAAACCCATCTGGTTCACTAATGGGAGGGAAACTGCCATCCTTACCTAGTCTGGCCTACATGTGACTCCAGGCCAACAACGATGTGGTTGACTCTTAACTGTCCTCTGGGCAATTAGGGATGGGCAATAAATGCTGGCCTGGCCAGTGACACCCTCATCCCGTGAATGAATAAAGAAAAAAAACATCCAAAGCAGCCGCTTGATTGGCACCACATCCACAAACATCCATACCCTCTACCACTGACGCTCAGTAGCAGCAGTGTGTACTATCTACAAGATACATTGCAGAAATTCACCAAGGCTCCTTAGACAGCACCTTCCAAACTCATGGCCATTTCCACGTACGCAGGACAAGGGCAGCAGATTCAGGGGAACACCACCCCCCCTTCCTTCAGTGTCACTGAGTCACAATCCTGGAATTTTCTCTCTAACAACATTGTGGGTCTACCACAGCACGTGGACTACAGCAGTTCAAGAAGGCAGCTCACCACTACATTCTCAAAGGCAATTAGGAATTGCAATAACTACTGCTCAGGCAGTAATGCCCACATCCCATGAATTAAGGAGGAGAAATTGGGCGAAAGTTTGGAAATCTGAAGTGCAAAGGGACTTGGAGGTCCTAGTCCATGATTCTCCTAAGGTAAACTTGCAGGTTGAATCAGTAGTTAGGAAGGCAAATGCAATGTTGGCATTTATTTCAAAAGTACTAGAATATAAAAGTAAGGATGTACTTCTGAGGCTTTATAAGGCTCTGGTCAAACCACATTTAGAATACTGTAAACAATTTTTGGCCCCATATCTCAGGAAAGATGTACTGGCCCTCGAGCGGGTCCAGAGGAGGTTCACAAGAATGATCCCAGGAATGAAAGGCTTAACATCTGAGGAACGTTTAACGATTCTTGGTCTACATTCGATGGAGTTTAGAAGGATGAGGAGGTATCTAGTTGAAACTTACAGAATACTATAAGGTCTGGATAGAGTGGACATTGGGAAGATGTTTCCATTAGAGAGACTAGGACCCGAGGGCACAGCCTTAGAGTAAAGGGAAGACCCTTTAGAATGGAGAAGAGGAGAAACTTTTTCAGCCAGAGAGTGTTGAATCCATAGAATTCATTGCCCCTGAAGGCTGTGGAGGCCACATCATTGAGTATATTTATGATATAAATCGCTAGGTTCTTCATTGTTAAGGTGATCAAAGGTTACGGGGAGAAGGTGGGAGAATGGGTTTGAAAAACATATCAGCCATGATTGAATGGTGGAGCAGACTTATGGGCCAAATGGCCTAATTTCTGCTCCTATGTATTATTGTCTTATGGTCCATCAATAACAAGAAAATAAGCAATGGCCAAGGGGCAAGGATTGAAGAAGCACAGAAATCTTGGAGGTTTGGTGGACTGGAGGAGATTGCAGGGAAAGGGAATGTTGAGGCCATGGAGGGATCTGAACACAATATGATTTTTATCACTGAAATGTTGAAGGACTAAGAGACAATCCAGATCAGACAAATGAACAGGACTTGGTGTGAGATTCAGTTATAGACAGCAGGATTTAGGATGAGGTTGACCCTGAACTGCCCTCTGGGCAACTAGGAATGGGCAATAAATGCTGCCTGGTCAGTGACGCCCTCATCCCGTGAATGAATAATAAGAAAAAAATTCTGTTAGGGAGCTTGACGGGGTCAATGCTGAGAGGATGTTTCCCCTCATGGAGAGTCTAGGACCAGAGGACATAGTTTCAGAAAAACGGGGCACTAATTTAAGACAGAAATGAGGAGGAAAGAGGGTTGTGAGTCTTTGGAGCTCTGTGTATATTTAAGACTGAGATAGATAGATTTTGAATCAGTCAGGGAAGCAAGGGTAATGGGAAAAGGATAGGAAAGTGAACGTGAGGAATGTTGAAATAACCATGAATCTATTGAATAGCGGAGCAAGTTCAAAGGGCTGAATGGCCTTCTCCTGTTCCTATTTCTCTGGTCTCCACCTGAAGCTCACTTCTGTAACACATTTCCTTCTTCACTAAAATTGACATTCCTCTTCCGTCATCACCATTCTCTCTCTCCCGAAAATATTATTTATCATTTATGTGTCTTCAAGATCCTTAAGGGGGAGGGTGAGCAACCAGCAGTCATGGTACACATTGGTACCAATGACATTGGTAGAAAAAGGACTGAGAATGTGAAAAACGAGTACAGGGAGTTAGGTTGGAAGCTGAAGTCCAGGACAAACAGGGTAGTTATCTCTGGATTACTACCAGTACCACGTGATAACGAGGTAAGAAATAGGAGAGAATGCAGTTAAACATGTGGCTACGGGGCTGGTGTAGGAGGGAGGTCTTCCATTATGTGGATAATTGGAGCACATTCTGGGGAAGGTGGGACCTGTACAATAAGGACAGGTTGCACCTGAACCGGAAGGGCACAAATATCCTGGGGGGGAGGTTTGCTAGAGCTGTACGGGATGGTTTAAACTAGTTTGGCAGGATGTGGGAAACCGGATTTATAATTCAGAGGATGAGGTATTTGGCCTTCCAACAGACACAACAGGGAGTGAGGTGGTTGATAAAGAAATGCATTCGATGGAGTGTAATTGCAGACACCGAGATGGTTTGAGGTGTGTATACTTCAATGCTAGAAGTATCAGAAATAAGGCGGATGAACTTAGAGCATGGGTTGGTACTTGGAACTACGATGTTGTGGCCATT